TTTTATATTCATTTGGGGCAAGTATAGAACATCCTGAGATTAGATGGTCTATTGTTTCTTGGTATTTGTCACAGAACCTGCATTTTGGATCCACATTATTATGTATGATATTTGCCTGAAAATTCCTAGTGAAAAGACTCTGGTCTTGCGCTGCAAGAATAAAGCCTTCAGTTTCAGATTTTAATCCAGATGCTCGTAACCATCGATGAGTATTAACTTTATCAACATTGGGTTTATTTGCACGTTCTGGATATTGGCCATGCAGAGGTTTGTCTTGCCAGCGTTGTTATTATTATTATTGTTGTTATTATTATTATTATTATTATTATTATTATTTCCACTGATTTCTAGTGTGTACTTCTTTCCTTCCTGGGTCTCAACCAGAGACGTAAGATTTGGAATGGTATCATGATATTTTCTACTGAGCATTTTTTTGGACCCCACTTCCCAAAAGTACCCTAAGATCACATGGATTTTACATAGATAAATTCCCTCATAAGTTGTAGGGCTGTATTTGCGAGAATTTTTTTTTGTATTTCTTCAAGACATGGGCAACTAGGAATCACTTCAATAATTCTATGGGAAACTTTTCCAATCAAACCGAGGGTTCTACCTACAACTGGAACTGTTGATGTTCTCAAGTGTCACATTTTTCAGATTTCCATTTAACGGCCATTGTCCTTTGATAGTTTTTTGTTCTTGAAAATCTTCAATTATACATTACCTGTCCACAAAAAAAAAACTACTTACGTTAAAATTACTGTCTTCCAGAATTACTCTGGGCAACTGTTTTGTTTTTCTTTGGAGAAATCCAATACTTGTTATATATATATATATATATATATATATATATATATATATATATATATATTTATATATATATTTATATATATAAATATCATTCATGCAGACAGTACTGTTTCGCTGTATCACGTGCTTAATACCCTTGGGAAAATTAGTGATTCTTTTCTTCTTAACCCTCCAGCTATGGATAAATAGCAGGACAGACTGGGTTCTATAGCCTTGGATGGCAACTGGTGTAGAAGGACAACTCTGAATTCAAAACCTGTGGAGGGTCGTTTGGGGACCTTGTGGCATGTAGTGCACCAGGTCTCTGTATTCGTCCCTTCAAAAAGTGTGGATAGTCCTGCACGAAACCTTCAACACTATAATTAAATCTTATGTGCTGTTGCCGGGCTGTCGGTTTCCTAGGAACTGATCTGCTTGACCCTCATACGTCGAATTCGACGGGAGAGTCGATCTATCTATCTATCTATCTATCTATCTATCTATCTATATATATATATATATATATATATATATATATGGTGATTGAAAAGTAACACCATTTAAAATTCTTATATTTTATATATTAACTCTAATTTTCACAAGATTAACATGAAGTTTTATTTAAAATTCGATATAGGCACCAGATTTCGCTACCAGCTTATCGACCCGCTCGGGAATCACGTCAAATGATTTCACCATGAACTCTTGTAGTATGGAAGCCATAACGTCTTGTATTCGCCTTTCAAGTTCTTCCATCGTCTTGGTTCTTTAACCATATATATAGCCTGGGGGTAGAATCTCTAACTGACGCCAAATCGGTCGGGTTTCGATCCGGACTTGAAACAATCGTATGTCTAGACACACTGATGAAGTGTGGTACAGTGAAAGAGTCTGTCTGCGAACTATTTATGCTCTCGAAATAATTCGACTGGGCTCTCGAAGAGGAAGGGGTGATTTTATAATCAGTGGCTTCTGCTGCTAATGCAATGCTCTTCAAATAGAATCGAGCTCTCCTTTCGTATAGTATAAAAAAAAAAAGATTAAAATTTCCCTTTCTCTCTGCCGTGCAACGATAGCTTGGCAGTAGAATCAGTGTTTGGTTTGTCAGAGGTGTTGTCACAAGGTATAGCCTTTAACCATTGTTCTCGCTCATTCTGATCTTGGAGAAGAGGAAATACACGAACTTTATTTTGGTCATCATATTTCCTACGACAACGTGTTACCCAGCACTTTTTGACCATTTTGAGAAAGGTTTTGGGGTACTGAATATGAAAGTTATTAACTAAAGTATTATTTTCTAAAAAATACATAGTGCTTCTAAAAAGTGTATGAAATTATATTCTAAAGTCTCGATGGTTTGAACTATGGAATTTAGGTTTCAGAATTTAAAATTTAAAGTTTGTATGAATATGGGAATCTTTTAGAGACTAACATGGATTAAGAAATAACAGGATGAAGGAATTTGGGATTCAGACAAGAATTTCAGAGTTTGCAAAATTCAGTTTTTGATAACAGTATATTACGGGGAAGGATCAATCACTTCCTCTCCCATAAAATGCAATTATCTAAACAAAATTAACTAGTTTAATATTTTTACAATATCTTTTTTTAATTTCCTGTAAAACTATTAAGATGGTTTTACATTTTTAACAACAATGTTAGTTAAATTCAACATATATTTATTTAAATTTGTGTAAATAATTATTTTAAATTTTTTTTTAAAATCAATATATTTGTTGTTATGACAATATCAATATATTTGTTGTTATGACAATATCATAGACAAAATATGAAATCAAATTTTTTAATTTTTTTTACGTGGGCAAATTTTCTGTATTGAAAATTAGGAAAATTAACAGTGCAGAAAGTTATATTCATTTTTTGTTTTCTTACAAGGGCTATATCAACATACTTTACGTGCTATACAGAAAACACCAATTATTCATTAAAAAAAATGAATTTTTTAATCAAACTATTCGTTACTATGAAGAATAATAGCAGAGATAAAATATTTAAATTAACTTTCTGCGACAAAATTCTTAATAATCACATATTTTGCGAATTCGCTGTTAAAAATAATTGCAAAAAATGTAAAAAAAAGAGAAAGACGATATTGACAAGATAAAAATTTGTTGTATATACATGTTGAGATGTTGAGTGTTTCCCCGTGCGTGTATTGAAATAAGGACAAACACATACGTAGGGAAAAATACTGGTTTATCTGAAGAGGTATTTACAACAGAGAGATTAGTAGTCAAACGAACGCAGGTTAGTCAGTAACAATCAGAAAAAGTATAAAGTCCAACTGTATCTTCCGGTAGAGAAACGGAAGTGTGATGGTCATCTGATCTTTTCAGAGCTCTATAGAACTGTCCTATAAGTAGTAGAGAGATCAGTCCATTCTGATGAGAAGGTGGGTGGCCCCAACAATACACCAGCATGGTAACATTCGAATCTCAAGTTTTAAAAGTTTTTAATTAAAGACATTGCAATACGTCAAGTGAAAAAAAATCAGTACATTGGGTCTGATTGTTTAATTTATAACATATAACTGCTGACAAAAAATCCTGCTGACAAAAAATCCAATATTCTGATACAAATTTTCAAAAGTGAAGATTTTGTCCTTTTCTAGAAACTGTGACAACTCATCATTTTGCACATTTCGCAGAGAAGCAGAAGTTTTATTTGTTATTCTTGGTTTTGGTTGTGGACGTGTTAATGGCGAATGATGAAATACTGATGGTGGATTTCTGACAAGACAATGTCGTCTCTTTTACATCTTTGTGGTACATTTTTAAGAATTAAGTTTATTATTGAATTTAATTTGTGTCATTAACTTTATGGGATAAATTATTTATGCGCCATTTTTCTTTAATTTTACAATGAGAAGCATTATTTTTTAATGTCTTCTATTTATTCACGAAGGACAGAAAAAATTAACATATTTTTAAAAAAAAATATTTCTTATTTTAAAGAAAAAAAAACAAATTATTCATAAAAATAACTTTATACTTAATATGGTCATTCTTGAAGGAAAATATTAAATTGAAATTAACTTTATATGATAAATTCTTAATGACACTTATGAATTTTCATCGAAAACTTAAAAGATAAAGTATGCAAAGTTCAAATGGAATGAATAAATATTATACTTATTTCAGTATCTTAAATAATGAGCTTAAGTTAATCCAAAAGTAAAACGTAAAAAATTATTTAAGAAAAAATAATTTCTTAAACCAATTCCAGCAAGGAACATTCTCGAGTTAATCGTTCGCCCCCAGTCACCTATTGGTCATGACACGGTGTAAATGTCTGAGTTATGGCTATATTCAAAAAAGTTTTCTATACTGTAGTGATCAATGGCAATCTGTGCCAAGCAACTTCAATATGCGTACAATATATATATATATATATATATATATATAGAGAGAGAGAGAGAGAAGAACATTGAAGTCAACACTCAGAGGCGACAGGCTGTTTCATGCTGGACACAATCGTCAGGCCGCCTTTATATCTTTATATATATATATATGTATATATATATATATATATTTATCTTTATATATATATATATTTCTATCTTTATATATATATAAATATATATTTATCTTTATATATATATATATATATATATATATATATATACATGATAGAATAAATAACGCCTTGGAACTAACCCAAACAAAATTAAAAATACCAGTGGTTCTGTCCTTTTGTCTGTCTTCTTTCAAACTCTGATGATGCTTTATTAAACGTGAAGCATGATAGATCGATATACGTTTCCTAATTTGTTTTTTTTTTATCATATATATATATATATATATATATATATATATATATATATATAGAGAGAGAGAGAGAGAGAGAGAGATCGAACGAATACCCTTTTGGCTCAGTAGGGCAGGCAGAAGTGGCATTATAAAGAGGAAATAACAAAATCGCGAGACAACACCCAAATTGACCACCCCGATAATAATCTCCTAGCCCTGCCGATATAATATCCGAATATGGTCAGAGGAATGTGAAGAATTTAACCCCTATGAATTGCATAAATAGCCCGCTTCGAAATTCTAAGAACGTTATCGAAGAAGGCCGGAAGACATGAGGGGTCGAAACGTTTGAAGAAAACAGTCGGAATAAAAGTGTGTGTTGCAAGAAAGGAAGCAAGCAATGCGTAACTGGACGAGATGAGCTCACATTAAAATAATGAAATGAAATCAAAGTCGGCTGGCATCGGAGGAGACGATACAGAAACTCGTTTCGTGCAGGATGATGTTGACGTGATAAATCAGTGAGAAGAAGTGTGCCGGCTAAGGGCCCATCAGCGGAGGAGCATCACTTGTACGTGAGTCGGACAATGGCCGACAACATGTAAAGTGGTGACAGGTGGGTCCTAATTCGGTTAGCTTACCTCAGAGTATATTAGATGTCGATGGAGTGGGGGGTGTCAGATGTTTCGGAGGTGGGATGAAAGTGGGACATTAAGTTAGAAGAAAACGTGAAGCAATATTGAATTATTAATGCACTGAAGGAACGCTGTGATAAAAACAACAAGAATGAAGATAACGCAGAAAAATTTAAAACGGAATTTTATCTATCTATCTATCTATCTCTTTCTGTTCATAAATACATATCTGTTCATATCTATCTCTAGCTGTTTCTATCTCTCTATCTACCTATCTCTCTATCTCTTTCTGTTCATAAATGCATCTTCATATCTTTCTTTCTTTATCTATCTATCTATCTATCTATCTATCTATCTATCTATTCAGTCTGCATCATATCTATCTATCTATCTATCTATCTATCTATCTATCTATCTCTACTCATAAATATATATCTATCTATCGCTGTTTCTATCTATCTATCTATCTATCTATCTATCTATACTCATAAATATATATCTGTTCATATGTATCTCTCGCTGTTTCTATCTATCTATCTATCTATCTATCTCTACTCATAAATATATATCTATCTATCGCTGTTTCTATCTATCTATCTATCTATCTATACTCATAAATATATATCTGTTCATATGTATCTCTCGCTGTTTCTATCTATCTATCTATCTATCTATCTATCTATCTATCTATCTATCTCGCTAGCTAGCTACTAAAAAACCCTTTTACTACTTACTGGTATGTCTGTGAAGAATTTTATTTTAGATAATTATACCTAAAATGTCTATATTCTTTGAATCAGTCATTAATTCCTGGCTATTTTTAGACATCTACTCTATTACTCTGTCTATAATCCTGAATGTGAATGAAAGTTTTCATTTCTATAGTAAAATCATTGCTTCTTTGCAAGTACAGTTCCTGCTGCTGCTGCTGCGGGGGGTGACATTGCGGACATGTTTATTTCCTAACTCCGCCCAAAATTCGGAGGACGAATATTTTCTATGAAAATTTCTCGGACATTCAGGCCGGTAAATGTTGTTTAATACTGTTTATTATAAAACAGAGCATTTACTTAATTATTTGTATCTATAAAAAGAATACCGGGATTTATTTTGTAAAAAATACAAAATTGTGGCACAAGGCCGAAAAGGGGGAGGGGGTAGGGCTGGTCTTCACTAACTATCTTATACCTAGCTAATTTGATTCACGACCCATTCAGACATTACAATTTACTCATTCACCATAAGAACTCGTCCGTCATCAATCAATCCTCCTTGCACCATAATACCACATCCACTCTAGGGAGACCTACAAAACGCGCCCCATGTCATAATGATCCTAACACATATGTACAAAAATTCTAAGATGAAAAAATGAGATGGGGGTGGGATGTGAACCCAATAACAAACTAAAATATTAACATAAATGAAAATAAAACGTTAACTGATGTTAGTAGGGCCCTTCCAACCCTCAAAATGCAGGGAACCACTGTATTCTGCCCATTGGAACAAAATCAAGCAGCTCTCTCTCGCTAAGGGGAGGGAAAGGTGATAAAAAATCATACGGGCATGTGGAAGTATAAAGCTGACCCAGTCGAGATAGAAAGTGGGGATCAAAAAAACAAACTGGGGAGGTTGGGAATCTCAGGCTGGATCATAACTAAAGATGTGGCCGGGGGCAGGCCAGAACAACACTTACTCGCATTAACTAGGTACACCAAGGCTTGTCTAACCTAACCAAGGGGAGGGCACCACAGGAAGCCACCCCGATGTAACGTAGGCTTGACCTAAAACAGAAAATCAAGGCTAGCCCCGTTCACACGAACCAAGCTCGCCTCAGTCACCCACCTTTCGCTGAAGACTGTCGAATGCAAGCGTTTTCTATCAGTTCTAATCTTCGTCTTGAGCTGATGCTCAAAGAATCGGATCAGATCCTGATGAGAAAGACGGTTACCCGCAAGACTTCCTCCTCTCGCGTCGTCCATATCACCATTCGGGCCGTGGCTAGCAGCATGAGAAACACCATCCGTTTCACCCCGGAATACAGGGGCGACACATTGTCACACGCGTATGCACGATCCATGGGCACAAGCTTTTTCGGGAGCGAGACGAGCCGTCAGCTCGCCGACATGGTCCCATAAGGGGCGGACACGGGGGCAATGGAAGAAGGCGTGCGAAGCCGTTTCCTCTAGACCAAGGCCACACCGATCGCAGTCTGGCAAGTCCGCCAAGCCCCATATAGAAGGCCATGTCGTTGAGAGGCAGCCGATTCCGAGCCAGTCGCCAGGTAAGCGAAAACTCAGGGTTACTGAGGTAATCCGCCGCTGGCGCCCAAGACCAGTGAGAGCGAAACTCATCATCCGACATGTCGAGATCCTCACGTAGTGGATCCTTCGCGACCCCCTCCACTAGCAAACGATAGAAGTCCTTTCTAGGCCGAGAAAGGTCACTGGACCAAGGGACAGCCAACAAGGCCGACCGACACTCGCGAAAAACCGATTGAACCCGGGGTTTACGACGGCGATCCACCCGCGAGCTTGGGGACTGATGGTAAGGCGAGGGAAGGTGGCCCTCACAATCCCCCTCAATAATCGGATCTCCACCTGTCAAAGCGCGGCGTAGGAAAGCCAACCTCGAGGCACGTTTGTGGCTCAGCAAGTGTGGCATTCCCAGCCCCCCATGACACGGACGTTGTGCACAGACCTCTCTGTCGACCCGATTCGCGCGTCTCCTCCATAGAATGGAGGTTAGCGCGCGCTCGAGCGGTGTCCTGTGGTCGTCACAGAGAGGAAGTACGGACAATCGATAAAGGACAAGAGGGAAATGTATGTAGCACACCTCCGCCCTGCCCTTCACGGACAACCTCCGTCGACGCCAAGTCTGACCGGCGGCGTAGACCTTTGCTCGTACTTCAGACCAATTCTTCTCCAGCTGGAGGTCGGGTCCAAACCACACTCCGAGAATGCGGACAGGACCGTCCGTCCAACCGAAGGGCCCTGGAAGATCGACCCCCCAGGCGCCTAACCGCAAGCCGGACGACTTGTCGCGGTTAATCTTGGCCCCTGTCACCTTTTCGTACCGATCAAGCGCCTTCTGTACTGCTCTGATGCCTCTGCGGGACGACACGAAAGCAGTTACGTCATCGGCGTACGCGGAAACCCTGGCTCGATCCCCGCCAGGAACGGCGATTCCGCATAGGGCCGGCCTGCACGCCCCGTCCCTCAGCCGGCGAAGGAGAGGCTCCAACGCCAAAGCGTAAAGTAGGGGCGACAGCGGGCAACCCTGACGGACCGACCTAGACAGCGCAAAAGCGCCTGACAGCTTTCCGTTCACCTGTACCACAGCAGTGGGGAGCGATACAGGAGGCTAATCCAGCGGCAGAAGTCGGGTGCGAATCCGGCGGCCTGCAGGACAGTAGCAAGGTAGCGATGGTCAACTCTATCAAATGCCTTGGACTGATCCAAATTGATCAGCGCGGCACACTCGTCGTCTTTTTACCCTCTATGATCGTGCGGATCAAATGCAGGTTGCTCTGAATTGTTCGACCCCTCACAGAACAGGTCTGCTCGGGACCCAACAGAGACTCGGCAACTGACTGCAAGCGCTCCTGCAGGATCTTGGCCATAATCTTTAACTCTGTGTTTAGCAGAGTTATGGGCCTGTAGTCGTCTAGCTTCCCCCAACACCCTTGCCCTTTTTTCAACAGCGTGATCACACCCTGGAGAACCGGTCGGGGAGAGACCCTGCCGGAACCAGTTGTTGAAGACGACCGTCAAAATCGGGACAAAGATGTGCGACAGCCTCAAGTACACTTCATAGGGCAGACCATCCAGACCGGGCGACTTGCCTCTGCCGACCTTCTTCAAAGCCGCGTAGACCTCGCCCTCGGTAACCTCTCCCCTCGCAGCTAGCCGCTTCAGTCGGCGAAAGCCGAGGAAAGTCAGCCAAATAGCTGCGAAACTCGTCCTCACGAAGACCAGGCTCCCTGGTAAAACGGCTCTCGAAATGCCGCCGAAACGCCTCGCACATGTCGTCAGTGGCCCGAAGGGTGCGCCCTTCCGGGTTTTGACTTCACGAATATAACGATCGCCACCTCGACGGACCTCTTCCCTGCGCAGCTCTGCGCCCATATTCACGGCTTCGGAAGACATCTTGCTTAACCTATGCCTAATTACCTGGCCCATGTAGCGCTCGCTATTCAAACGCTGCAGAGAGCCTCCTTAGCTACGGCTATCTCTAGGGGATCCCCCCAAGCCACCGCCCGGGCATGACTAGCTTTAAGCGTCCTCACCTTATCAGCTCTATCTAGGGCGAGCCGTTTGCTGAAATCAGTGGTGAAGGACCTAATTCTACATTTAAGTCTGTCCCACCACCTATTCCCGATAACCGCCCCCACTAGCTCCCGCTGCACTAATTTAGTCAGCTGCTCCCGGAAGTCCTGCCTGTCCAGTAAGGACAGATTGAACTTCCAGTAGCCAGCCATTCTAGGCCTATGTTCTAACGCCACACGGGCACAAACGAGTTTGTGGTCCGTATAGCCTACCCAGTGGAACGTGGGACAATCTAACAGATCTATGTCGGCCCTTCTCACTAACATTCTGTCAAGGTAGCTAACTACCTTGTCACAAAACCAGTTAAGAGCCCACGTCCACATATTCCCCCGGGTGATCGACCCGGTATCTATCAACGAGACCGAAATTTTTGATCAGATCGACCAGGCTACGATCGACCCTTCTCCCGCTAGCACCCCGCCCCCGATCTATCTTGGGGTCCAGGACGGCATTCCAGTCCCCCATTAGAACTAAGCGCTTGGAATCCACCAGGAAAGGCCCCAACCGCCGAAAAACGAAACCCGCTCCTCCTGGTCGTTGGGCGCATAAACCGCAACGACTCGAAAACGAACCACTTTTCACGGCAATATCGGCCACGATCAACCGTCCCTCGGCATCGGTATGCACAAGGTCCACCTTCGCATCTAGAGTCCGCTTCACCAGCAAAGACACTCCTCTGGCAGCTCGGTCCCCATATGCTGAATAGACGACAAAGTCGTTAGACAACACACGCATCGGAACTGCAAACAAAGTGGGTCTCTTCGATCGCGGCAACATCCACGCCGAACGACAGGAGATCCCGGAGCAGGCAGGCCGCCTTACCCCGATCTCTCAAGCCATTCACATTCAGCGTCGCTATCTTGACAGACATGGTTTAGGCCTGCAAAAAAAAAAGAAAGAAAAGAAAACATGCAAAAGCCTACTCACATACCGGGCGGAAATCTGCGTTGGTAAGGACCCCGACGGCCTGTCCCAGATTTCCGGTTCCTAATTCGGTCGTCATACGACCGTCTAGGACAATCCCGCCGACGTCCGTGGGGTAAATTAGCTTTAACGCCCTATATAAGGAGGGATGGAGCAAACACGGGGACCCTCCCAACACAAAAGTTTCTTAGTTTGTTAAGGGTGGAATTGTCCGTTTCAACTATACGGATGTCGGGGAAGGCTTCCTTCGCCTCAAAGATGTGGTTCCACACCTTCAGATACGCCCCCTTCTCCCTCACGCAGGTTATC